ATCACATAACATCACCACTTCTCATCTTATAATCAATAATAATAATACACATTCACCACATCAATACACACTTCTTTTTGCAGTCATATAATGCGACTCAATACTATGCAAATGAATGTGGTACCATTTGGAGCAAAACTCCCATCTCAAAAATTTGCCAATTAATAGAGGCATTAACAAGGCATAAGCCTTCATCTCAATGTTCGCCAATACAAGCCATCTCAACGAGCATAAGCTCCATCTCAAAATGAAATGTATGTGACACAATCATGAATGTAATAACAACACCATAATTAACAACATCTCAATACAACGTCATCGTTGGCCAAAGGCCTACATCTCAAAAGCATCTCAACATCTCATCATCAACATCTCATATTATTCATAATAATTCATCAAACATCATTTATTCATCAAACATCATTTATTCATCAAACATCATTTATTCATCATAAATTATCAACACAAAATCATTAATAACATCTCATCAACAAATCAGTTGTACATTAATACGATAGTAATTCACACCGTTATTCTGTAATCTTACATCATTACTAACATTACTCATACTGTTACAAATCAAACAGCAGCCTATAAACATTTCATCCTCATCATTCTGCATAAAAACCAACATAACGATTAATGCGGGAATTAACTCTAGTCCTAATTGGGATTACTAGGGTTATCCTTCCTAATCTTCATTTTAATCCTCACAAATTAAAGCTCATCGCGTTAGCTATTCAACGCTTCGAACGGCACCTCAAACGGCATCCTAAATCTCAAGTTACAGCATTTCAGACTGAATCTGCCAAAAACCAGACAACATGGGTCGACGTATAACTCCTTGGATTGATGCGTACTGCACTGAATTTGCAACATGAGTCGACGCATCCTCTCTTGGATAGACTCATCCTGGGTCTTACACATAGCATGTATCGACACATGCTCCTATAAATCGACTCATCCTGAGTCTAAAAGCACTCATGTATCAATGCGAAACCTCTTTGTGTCGACTCATCTTGAGTCTTTCAACCTTCTTGTATCGACACATCATGTTTGAGGTCGACGCATCCTGTTACATCCTGTATAAATTCTGTGATTTTCTATGCATTTTCACTATGGGTTCTATACTTTAAGCCCTAAAAACTTAATCTAATCATAGATAATCATCACTTACAATTACCCTATAATTCTACATCAATTAAACCGCATCGGGACATCATTATTCATCCATAATTCATCAATTTCCATCATACAACATCATATAATTCAATCATGAATAAAACAACACTTTCACATCTAATCCCACATACCAATTATCAGGAACCCAATTATAGAGTCAAAATCCCACCCTTACCTTGGATTAAAGGTCGCCCTATAATCTTCCGGTCGAATTCTCATTCTGCAGTTCTTCCTGTTTTTCCAGCAGCTTCACGTTCTTCTTCTCAATCCTTATTCTTCTACTGCCTCCTCTTTTCTATTATTTCTAACAACAATAAAATAACCTATTATTCTCTTAACTCCTTATTGGGCTCAAAACTAATACACTCCCTTATTACTTCTATTCCTTAAAAACAAGCCCACATCAAATAATATCATACTTCTAATATTATTTCATCACTTAATAAAATACTTAAATCTAATTAATCACAACACGTCTTCTCAAATATTCCAAAAATAATTTAATTAAACAATTAATTAAATTACAGGCGTTACATCACACTCATTTCTTGCGATTTATTTTCGCATTATGACATTGGATTCTGATATTTCATATTGTTTCGGATTTGATCTATTTGTTGATGCTAGCTCGCTCGAAGACCGTCGGGTTTCTTAGTTTTTTATTGATAAATAACACACTCTTGTTTGTTTGTTACATTTTTGTTGCTTATAATATTTTGCATTTGTTTACCGCTTTTCTGATGCCATGAGAAGTAGGAATAAAGATGCATGACTGAGAGTTCCTATTTTATATGGGCAGCCTGTTTAAAGTCCTCAAGTGAGGCAATGTTTATTCTGTTAAAGTCCTCAAAGTGAGGCGATGTTTTTGTTTGTAAAAGACTCCAAAATGAGCGACTTCTGTTGTTTGTTTAAAGACCTCAAAAGGAGGCATTTTTTCTAAAGTACTCGAAGTAGGCATTTCCCTTCCTCTTTTATATCATACTTGCTATCGAGTCAATAAGTGGAACAAAGAGTATGCAATCGAACCCCACACATTTTAATTTGTGTCGTTCCTAGCTCGCATTGTATGTTGATGCTTTGAACCGTGCTTACTCTCGTTATCGAGTCTGTCAAGTGGTAGACAGGGGTCCGTAACCAACCCCCTACAATTTGTCATTCATTTCAATGATGTTAGCTCATGTTTCATCAAATGTTGATGCTACGAGTTGTAACTCGATGTCGGTGCTCGAGTAAATCAAGTGGAAAGAGTTCCTTACTCCCACTTTGAGATCTATCAGACTCTTTTGTTTTCTATTAGCTCACACTTGATCTTATTTTGGATTCAGATCAATTTTTTTCATTCGCACTTCTGCTTGTGCTTTTCATTAGGTTGTAACTTTTATATGCTCCCTTAGGATGCGCTTGTCCCATTTTGATGCAAGTTAGACATTATGATTGTAATCCATGCATGCTAACATATGTAATGATTTTCCCTTTCTAACTCAATCTTAGGGCCATCATTGAATGATAACATTAGGGATAGAGCTATATAGTTTCCCTTAGATATTTTCTTTTCCTTTTGTATCCTTAAGACTAAAACCCTTTTTCTTGGCAAATGCATAAAATGCTCTAACATTTCAAATCGTTTTTAAGGTAAAAAACACCAACCAATGCAAATCAGTTTGTCTTCGGACCTTTTTCTTTTGAAAACCTTTTCAAAAAGGACATGCTTCGATAAGCATCGTTCATAAAAAACATGCAACAAACGAAAACTTTTCTACCGAATTACGGCACTCTAATTCCTTAAAAGAGATACATAGGCATTGGTAGTGGGACCCAGGCGAGCGAAACTTTGTAAATATTCCTTTTTCCCCCCATGTTTTCTTTTGCATGCATTCCTTCTTTGCATTTTATCCTTACCTCGTAAGCTTTAGATTTAAACACACCCTTTGATTAGAATAACAAGAGTGGATCCCGTGGAGTATCACGGACGTGAGGGGTGCTTATACCTTTCTCTTGCGTAATCGACTCCCTTACCTGTATCTCTCGGTCGCGAGACCTTGATTTCACCCTTCTCAGATTTACTCGATGTTTACCTTTCCCTTTCTGTGGGATAAAAAACGTTCGATGGCGACTTCATTGATTTTCTCTCGATGATTGTTCGGCCAATTGTTTCAATACCTAATAAAATGGTGTCTAATCTCAATGCATTTTTTTCGAGAGTGAATTACCAGATTTCTAGTGAGGTAAAACTCATGATTTTGGATGGGTAAAAAAATTCATTGTGCAACAATTGTAAATGTCTATTTTTAGAAATAACATTTTTCGATTTAAAGGAGATTTTTACTTGATTATTCTTTTGTCACGCATTGCATAACTTATTTTTTTAAAATGCAAATTTGAAAAATTGATTACTAATTTCTTATAGATCAATTTATTCAAATAATTCATATGAATATGGACTATTATCCTACTCACTATGTCTCATAATAGGTGCCATCTTTTCTATTTTTATTGTCTCAAATTATTATCCATTCAAATTACTTTATTATTTATTTTCATTAATTTACCTTTATTTTATTGTGTTTTAATTCATATAACTACTTATTATCTATTATTAATAAGATTATTCTAGTAAATGACATATATTTTATCATTGAAATCAACACAATTAATCATTATCTTAAAAAATGTGAAAATCTCACCGAGAATATCTATTATAAAAAGGAGAGTATATCATATTCATAATTTGTACCTTATTTGAAGATGATTTATTAAATAGATATAATTATAAAAAAAAAAAACAAAGAAAAGATGATGTTGAAAAACAACAAGAAAAAGAAGTAACTATGGTTTAATAACCTTTAGTCCGGAAATCAAGGAAGTCCCAACCATGGTTAACAATAATGAATACAAACCCCAAGCTACTAGTGTTAAGTGGGGGCATCGCATTCCTCTATAAAGCAAACGAAGAAAAGGTTCAAAGAAATAATCAACTCCAATATATCACAAACTCAACCTATCAACGAATTCCAGTTCAATCCATGACCCACATCACAAATCCCCAAATCCTTTCTCTGTAAGTCTCAAAGTTTCCATTTTTTTCTTCTTAACTAGTCTTGGTCTATCCAATTTTTCTTCTTTCTCATAGCTTCCATGAAATGGTAGATCCTAAATTAGTTTCTTTTTATGATTCTTGGTCTATCCAATTTTGACCATAACCATTTTGCTACTTAAAGTTTTGTTTTTTTTGGTAGGTTTTGCTGATGAAGAAGCCACCCCCAATGCTTGTAATTTAATTTTGTCTGCTTAATTTGAAATCTGGAAACTGAAATCAAATTATAAGCTAATTGGGTTTTCAAAGATTGTTGCTTTTCACTTTATGGTTTGATTTCTTTCTTTAAATTTGCTTTGTTCTTTTTTTTTTTAACCTAATTCTTTTAGATTTTGGGGATTGGTTTTCTAGTTCAGGCTTTTGGGGTCACAAATTTTCATTCTTTATATCAAATTCCATTTTCAATGTGATTTTGTTCCTATTTTATTTTCATGTAAAACCTAGATATTTTTCATGTATTCAGTTAGTTAGACTTTTAGCCTACTCTATTATTTCAGTCAATTCAATCAATTTGGTTGATTAGACATCACAACACCTTATTTGTTTTCTTTCAATTTTGTTAAAGCTGTGATATTCAAGTATACCCTTTTGATGTTTTTGCAGATAAGTTATTAACAAGACCAAAAGAGTTTCCATTCCTCAATTTGACAGATCAATTCTGCTCCACTGATTTGGTGCATCATAAAGTGTATCACTATTTAAGTGATTTTTTTTTAAAGTCAAAATGGGCCTATCAAGTCTTCCAGCACCATCTGAAGGAGTGTTGTGCATAATTTTAGTAAACACTGCCATGTCAATATCCATATTCAAAGGGATTATTAAAACTATCCTACATATAATTGGTATCATTGCTTCACCACCATCCTCCTCAACTTCAGATGATTCATTTGAGTTCCATCTAAGTCCTTCAGATGATTTCATCGAAGAGTTCAGAAGCATGACACCAACACTTAGGTTTGAGAGTGTGTGTAGTAGCTGCAAAGAGCCTGAACATGATTGTTCAGTGTGTCTCACTCAATTTGAACCAGAATCAGAGATAAACTACTGTTTATCTTGTGGACATCTTTTCCATAAAGTTTGTTTGGAGAAGTGGTTGGACTATTGGAACATTACTTGTCCACTTTGTAGGACTCCTTTGATTCCTGAAGATGATGCCGCATCTTGCTTTTCATGAGCAATGATTGAAGTATGCACAGGGTTCTTCATGTACAGTGTATATATTTGTGACAATTTTGATGTTGCTATGTATCTGACTTTCTTTTTAGCCTTCTTAGTGCTTTGCCTTTTATGATGTAGAGTTAGTGGAGGGTTTTGTTTTGTTTACTATGTTTTTTCCCTTTTCTCTGGATCTGATGTGGCCATATATGAAATCAGGGATATAGTTTTTTTGGTTATTTGTGTTTTGTCCATAATGTCCTCATTGTTATGTCCTATAAGATATTTTAGAAGCCCTTTTTCTTTTTTGGAACACTTTATGATTATAATGAAGCATGTGATTAGTTAGGCTATAAAACTTTAGGTATTATAAGATTGTAAGATATTTTGCTACATAATGTGTGTTTGGAACTGTGGGGAGTTTGACCAGATTTTAGCAACAGATTCTGCAAAATTCACTGTTAATCTAAACAAGCACATGATCTGTATAGAAGGTCCAAACCTTGTATGCTATCAGCTTCTGCTCTATATTAAAATTTTGCATGTTTTTTTCTGATACGATTTTTATTATGTTATAAATGTTTACATTTTCTATATAAATATATTGAACAAATAAAGTTTAATTACATGGTGCCACAGTGGAATTTAGTTACATATAATAAGAAAAAGAAATTTTGCCTTATTTATGATGAATAATTTGCTTTGAATTGAACAGCATCTCTCTCTCTGTGTGTGATTCTTGAGGGTGGTGGTAGTAGTACTATGTTCAGACAACCAGCCTATCTATTTATCTGATGTGATGTTGACACGGATAAGAATGGCCCTGATGTTATGACAGTTTTTTTTACCTGTTATGACACAATTGATTATTTGATTCTTATTTTTAATAAGATCAATTAACAAAAATATCTAAGAGTGGGCAATGGGTCGAGTTTGAGTTCAAAAGTATTATTTAGTTTAAATAGTAATCAAATTTATTTATAAAATATATTTTCACTCAATTTTTGAATCGGTTTGACAGATTGAATTTGAATGAGTCGTTGAGAATTCAAATGTTTTGATCGGATTATTGGGTTTATTGTATTTTAAGTACAGGTGACAAATGAGCATGTCTATCATTTTCACGCCAGCAAAAAGATAGAGCGGTGTGAGACGGATTTTATTGAGTGTGCGGGCCTAAAATTTTGTAACGTCTTGAAAAAAGTGCGGATAAAATGGGCATGCTCGTCGGATCGGATCTGTTTTGCCACTCCCTAATTTTAAGGCACAATGATGTTTTGGAAAATTTTCATTTCACTCCATTAATTTCTCAAGAGACCTCTCAAATTGCTTGTTTTAACCATGTCCAAAAGGATTATTGGACTATTTCTGACGTCTTTGATTCGGAAACATTCGTTGAAAGTGTTTCAATATTCTAAAATGCATCTTTTCCCGCACATATTTTCCCTTCTCCGATTTATCAATTTCAGTTTAAAAAATTTGAGACATGGTTTTATAATGTATTAATAACATATGGTTTATAGATGTTGTTAGACCAGTTACACTTACACCTATGTTAATTGACTATATTTGTTAATTCTATATTTTATAATTGACATTAATTTTAGTAAAATAAATTAGACAACAACATGAGATGTTCTAATTTAGTAGAAAGATGTTGAACAAGATGTTTCAACTGACAGTTTTAACATGTTGTATATGATGTCCTAACCAGAAAAGCAAGATATCTGGTCTGTCACAGGTTGGATACAGGAAGAAATATGTTGAATAAAGATGTCTTATGCATAGCCATTCAACATCGCGCTCGTGTATCAGCTGCACATTTGGATTAGTTATGTCTGTTACAGAGATATAATATTTTGGAATATTATGCTATCCTATGTGGCGCTAAGTTTGAAGATTGAAGAGATTCAAGCTGATTTCAAGGAGGATTATCAGTTTCTATTTGTGAAACAAAATTAGGAAAAAAATTATTAGAGTTCTATTTTTATGTAGAAGATTCTGCAGATTTTCAGCAACTAATATGTTGTTGTTCCGAAGCCCATGAACAACTGAAGATTATAAAAGGAAGACTTAGACCTATGGCTTTTTAACTAATCCTTGTGAAAAACTTTTGTAAACAAAAAGATAAGGGTTTAGGGTTTTGAGAGTTGTGTACTTTCTTGTGTTGTAAGTCACCTTGTGTATCGATTTGATGCATTGTGGTAGACATAGTTATTTATGCAAGTTCAGAAGACTTTAGGTAATAAACTGTGTATTGTTCTTGGATGAAGCTTTGAAGCAAATCCAAGTGTATTTGTTAGTCAAGAGTCTTAGTTGAACTTTACTTAAAATGGATGTCTTTCAAGTAGTTTCATGCAGTCACCAGAGGTGGTGATTGTTAGATATCACTGAGGTGATTTAGGATGTGAGATGGTGATTTCTCATTTTTAAGGAGTACCTAAGTAGAAGTTGCATTGAGTGGGGATTAAGCGAGAAGTTGTAAACTGGGATTGTTTAGGCTTTGAATTAATACCGTTGATAGTGGATTTTCTTCCTGACTTGATATCCCCTAGAGTAGGTGTTGTTGTACATCGAACTGGGTCATCATATCTTTGTGTTATTATCATTTTGCATTGTTCAGTTTTATTTCTTGATTGATTGATATGTCATATAAGATGTTGCAATATCTTTCATGACGTTGTTCTGATATGAATTATATCAGTATGTTTTGTCTTGTCATTGTGTTGTTAAATGGAGATCAATGTCTTAAACACGTGTTAGAACATTTGTTATTTGTATACCAGAATTTTAATTGGTATTAGAGCAAACATCTTGTTTTGTTCTAGATGAGATCTAGGGAAGATACTTTCTGGTGTATTGGACTTGAAGGAACAATGTGTTGGTTATAGTTGTTGTTATTATTATGGTGGTAATAGTGAGGCGATTTTATGCTACATGTGCCTCTATTGTGTGAACTTGTGGTGTTCAGGTTGGTTTGTCTTCTGGTGATCTTCTCTTGAGAATGAGGATGATTTTGATATGACAGAGGAAAATATGTCTAATCATTATCTGCTGGCTAATTCTGGGGATGTCTCTTTTGCATGATGTTCTATAAGGTGTTTCTGACATCCTGCCTGGAACCTATGAAGGATGTGATTTATTCCGCTGTATATGCATCTGGTGGGTGTTCTTTATGCTATGGTCCAAGGAGGATCTTCTCTTGGAATAGCTTGAGATTAATGATGCAAGATGGTGCCAGTGTTTATAAAAGTACATGACCAGTTGGGAGTAAGACAAAGAAAAAAGGTTTTATTGATTCTTTCACATTCGGATCCTTAAGCACTCTTATCACATATAAAGTAGTCAAAGATACTCGAAATCTCTTTCAAATCCACTCATAAAGGCACTTCTATTTGTGAAAGGAGCTCAGAAGGGAAAGTGGCCGTGATGAAGACACTCTAGGAAAATAAGAGCAATTCGTTTTTACTCTTGAAGAGCTTGTTTTCGGATTTCTGATGAAGGAAATCCTAGAGATTAATCTGTTTTGATGTGCTTCTTCTCAAGGAAAGGTTGATAGGGTTTTGTCAACTAAGTCATCAAGAGAAAGTCATAATAGTTTATGGAAAGTTGAGTCAAAGTGAGAGTTTTGGAATTATGTTACAGGTGTCATCTGATGTTGAAGGTGTATGATCAGGCTATTCGATATTCTATAGATATGGAGGACAAGGTCAAATGCCAAGGACATTCTCTGTAACACCTGAAAGATTCTTCTATTCTAATTTTCCAAAACTGCGTATTCTTGCTCTAATGTGACAGGTTCTATTCTGGAGTTGAAAGGCCTTAAAAGAAATGTCAGATATAATATCTTGACATCTTTGTATTGAGAATTTTTTTCCTAAATATATCTGGATGGTGTTTCTAATAAACAAGATGAAGGTTGTTTACTCAAATTTGATATTATTTATCAAGTCTATAATAACATGGAACTCTTGTTCTGTTGTAATGGAAAAGACATCCAAGGGGTTGTATGTAATGGAGGTGTATCAACCAGAGTTCAGTTAATATTCTTTAGAGAGATTAACTCACAATTATGGTGTGTATTATTCAATTGGTTGAGTGTTGTCTGCATTTTTTAAGAGTGTCATCCAAACTACTTAGGATGAGCTTTCCAGATTTGAGTCTTGAAGAATGGGAAGAAATAGGCTTATTTTAAACGGTCCGTTTGTGGTATGGTGATCATTCAATACTCTGTTTGTTATGGTCGGTCCTAGTTTTATGGTAGAGGGAATCTCCTCTGTTGATGCATAAGGATGGAATCTAACACCTCAAGGTCAGACAAGAAGTCTGGACACTAAGCTTATGAGAAGAAGGTTCTTGAGGTGTGAATGCTATTATATGTATTTATGATCTGGTCTTGAAGGGTGATCAGTTGTGGATGGGTACAAGTGTGGTTTCCTTGTGTTTCATGCAAACGTTGTGTTTTGATTATTATTGTTGATGTCTACAAAGCCATAGTAAATGATTAAATCCATGATGTCTAAACTGATGTTGGAACATCATTTCAGTTGGTTGCTTCTCCAGCTAAGGAAGTTTGTTTTAAGCTCATGGTGGAGTCAAGTTACTGGCCTGATCTGGCTTAGTGTGTGGTATAAATATCTATCATGATTGTCTGTGGTTTGAAGAAGGAGAATGTCAGGCCAAATGTTCTACCACTTGAGAAGAGGTAGTCATATCAGCTGTTTGGACCTTTAAGAGAAATTGTGATGCAGATGTGCATGTGACTGATGGTAAATACATTGACGGAAGCTATGTATTTTCTTGACATATTTATGTAAGTCTACAATCTGAACTTATTACTTCAGAAAGTGTATGAGAGTTTATTTCTTTCCATGGTATTCAGGTGTTTGTGATAACCTGAATGAGCTGCAGAAGGGGTAGTTGTAAGAGCTTCTTGAATAGCTTGAAACAAGGGCATCCAATCATGATGATTCCTTTGGATGGTGAATCAAGAGCCGGAGTGATTGGGTTCTGTGATAT